GGGAAAGAGAATGCAGGGAGTGGTATGAGAAGGAAGATGTCAAGACAAGGACCTTCTTGATGCAAAGAAAACCATTACAACCAAGGAGCCTTGTCAAGGGGTCCTGAGCATTTCAATAAGGCTCAGAATTTCCAGGAAAGTTTTCAGAGCACTCCTCATGACCTGCTCATGTATAAAGACACTTGTGCCCACCCCCCCAGTCACTTACTCACCTAGGCAGGTACCTTGAGGGATTTCTCTTTCCACCATACAGGGATCTTCTCCATGTTGCAACTGGCAGATCAACTTTGGCATTGAAAATGGAATCCCTGCTCATGAGTAAGGAAATGGAGTTTGAACAAATGGCATGAAGAGCAGCCCCAGAACTAACTAACTGGAACCTACAGGGCAGAGAAGGCAGCATAAGCACTCCTGAGGGGGACTGAGGCCTTTAGGGGGATGGAGGAAACAATATAGGGCCCTGGCTATGAACCCCTCTAAGATGGGAGTCCTATATGTTTTCCAGAATCTAAACTGGGCTCAAGTCATTGGAATAGGAGGGAACTGATCAGAAGGTGGGGCGGGAGGAAGGCAGAGGATGAACAGCACCATGAAGGGCATCACAACAAACAGGTACACTTTCAATTCTACACAGGTTTGTCCTTTCCCAGGGGCACACAGGATAGAAACCTGCAGACTCTGAACCTCAGAGGGAGCTCTAAAGTGCTCCCACGGCAGACTCTCCATGACAGGCAAGGCTCCTTACCCAGCGAGACCAGGGTGCTGTAGTTCTCCAGCATCACCTCCCGGTACAAGGTTCTCTGGGCAGAGTCCAGGTGCAACCACTCGTTCCGGCTGAAGAGCACAGCTATATCCCTAAACGTCACTGACTCCTGTAATGGCAAACCCATTCCTGTTCACCCAGGAACATCTTCTCTGGAAGACTTGGTAAGAAGGTGACACTGGGATGTGTAGCAACCATGCTGAAAATGTCTCAGGATTCTAAATATTTCAAAGCAACTATTTATGTTATTTTTGGAACCAGCCATCAACTATTAAACAAATATTTATTGAGTACCCACTTGGAGCAAAGACACGTGGCATGTGTTGTGATATGGGGAAAAGGGCAAATTTCCTGCCAAGAGGGAATTTATATCCCACCCTGGGATCTGTCAGAGTAACTGAACACATCCATTTACCCCCCTCCCACTCAAAATCCAAATTAAATGAAAGGAAAAAAATCAGAGAACATTTAAAGCAGTGCTGGAAAACTAGGGAAAATATCATTAGTAGAACAGAACTAAAAAGGAATTTCTGAGACATAAAGCAAATAATAAAAATAATATTAGTTAATGTTTACTGAATACTTACATGTTAGGGACTATGATAGAAACTTTGTATACAGTAACCCATTTAAGTTTCACAGACATTCTATTAGGAAGATACTATAATTAAACCATTTTGCAGATAAAGAAACAGTTCAGAAAGGTTACAAAATCTTCCCAAGGTAAAACTGTTAGAGTGGTGGAGCTCCTAACTGAATTCAGATAGACAGGTCTCTAAGATATATTGTCAGATGGGTTTCCATTGACTATGAAAATTAAAAGAACCAAAGTACCTGCAAGACTATAGAGGTGCAAAAGGGAGCTGATAAGAAGGTAAGTTCTTCCAAGAGAATCCCAGTTAAACCCCAAAATGTAAGAAAGAAGAGGTTGGACACCCACCAATTCTTGTATGAAAGAGTCTAGGGGAGTAACAGTACAATGCTTAGTGGGTATTTTGTTGAGAATCTATCAAAATGTAAAAGGTATATTACTTTGATCTTGCATTTCTAAATACTTCTTGTATTCTACTACAAGGAATAATCACACAACTGTGTAGGGATATTTGTTCAAGGATGTTCACTAAAACATTACCTTTAAGTTAATGGTTATGGTAGGCTGAATAATAAACCTGTAAACATTATACATATGACAAAGGGACTCTGAGAATCTGTAGAAGGGTTTTGAGAGGGGGCGATTATTCTGGATTATTATCCAGGGGGATCTATAACGGTCCTTATAAGAAGAACACAAAAGGAATCAGAGTCAGAAGAAGAGAAGGCTATATGATGATGGAAGCAGAGACTGAAGTGATATGCTTTGAAGATGGTTGAAAGGGCCATAAACCAAGGAACATAGGGGGCCACCAGAAGGTGAAAACAAGGCCAGGAAACAGATTTTCACCACAGAGCCTCCGGAAAGAAGCAGCCCTGCTGAGAACTGGACCTTAAGCCAGTGAAACTGATTTCACACTTCTGACCTCCACAACAGTAGGAGAATAAATTTATGTTGTTTTAAGCCATAGAGTTTGTGGTAATTTGTTACAGCAACAATGGGAAACTAATACAATGGTGAAAATTTGAAGACAACCTATGTTATCTATCAATAAGGGAATAGATAAGTAATTTACACTGCATTTAGTCCATGAAATGTTATATAGCCATTAAATAGAATGAGATAGATTTGTATGCCTGACATTGGAATTTGACCATGATATATTACTGATTCATATGAAAAAGCAAGCTGCCAGTCTGTGTGTGTTGAAACATTCTTTATCTATATATGCATATGTGCATACAAAAATATCTGAAAGAATACAACAAGCTGTCCACCCAGATTATTCTTTGATATTTTAGAAAGGGACAGAAAGGCAACCTTTCACTTATTATTTTATACTGTTCAATTAGGCTTACATTCTTTTACAGGTTGTATGTTTGTTTGGAAATGTTTTTAGATTCCACTTTAATTTACATTTCACCTTTAGCTATACCTCTTCACATTTTTAGTTGTTGCTGAGAATTATAATACACATTCTTAGTTCTTTATAGTGTATTTAGAGCTGTAATCATGTAATATATGATTTCACATAGAAGGCAAGAACCTTGCAAATATATGGTTCTTCTTCATGCTATAGTTATTACAAAGATTTTCTCAGTTCATATAGTTGACAGGACTCATCAGACTGCTCTGAGACTACTCATGGAAGGCAAAGGGTACAATGCAGCAAGATAAAGACTGTGCAAGAAAGTCTGTGCAATCTCCCCTTATCCGCATGCACAGACTATGCTGTCTCTGGAGCTATGTAAGAAATTTTGGTTTGGGGGAGCTCAAAGGAGAAACGCTCGGCAGGGGCCTTTTGTGTATCAAGCAAGGCTTGTCAAACCATATAGGCCAGATGCAAACCAGCAGTGAAGAAGATGACCCCGGGGGTGGTTAGTGGCATTTAAGGACCTTATCCACTTCCCTTATCTTGGCCAGGAATCAAAAACAGCCATCCAGGCATCCCTGGAGACAAAGATAGAGCTTTTCCAAAGATAAAGATGGAGCTTTTCCAGTCCGGAAATAAATGAATTCTATATCCACGGTAGTTATATGCATTACATCCACTTACATGATAAACTCCATAACACAGTATTATACTTTTGCTTTAAACAATCATATCATCGTAAAGAAACTGAGAAGAAAATTTAGTTATATATTTCTATCATATAAATTATATTTATCCAAATATAAATATATATATATATATATATATTTATATTTATCCATTTCTAATACTCTTGATTTCCTTCCTAAGATTAGGTCTGGTATTATTTCCTTTTAACTTGAAGAACTTCTTTTAGAATATCTTGTAATGCAGGCTTGCTGACAATGAATTAGCTTTGTTTTCTTTTATCTGAAAATGCCTTTATTTCATCTTCATTCTTTTTTTTTTTTTTTTTTTTCGGTACGCGGGCCTCTCACTGTTGTGACCTCTCCATTTGCGGAGCACAGGCTCTGGACGCACAGGCTCAGCGGCCATGGCTCACGGGCCTAGCCGCTCTGCAGCATGTGGGATCCTCCCAGACCAGGACACAAACCCGTGTCCCCTGCATCGGCAGGCGGACTCTCAACCACTGCGCCACCAGGGAAGCCCCATCTTCATTCTTGAAGAATATTTTCATTGGTTATAGAATTCTGGATTGACAGTTTCTTTCAGCATATAAAAGGTCATTATTGTTTTCTGGCCACTGTTGTTTTTCATGAGGAGCCAATGGACATTCAAGTATTGATTCTCCGTATGTAATGTGATTTTTTTTTCCTGTCTGCTTTAAAATCTTTGGTTTTCAGTGATTTGTCTATGACTTCTCTGCCTAATATCATAGGCACTAGCCACAAATGGATATTAAGTGCTTAAAATGTGGCTAGTCTGAATTGTGATGTGCTGTTATATATAAAATACACACCAGAATATATACTAGAAAATATTTATATATACACAAATATATATATATATATACATATGATATTTCAATAATAATTTTGTACTCATTACATGTTGAAATAATAATATTTTGGGTATACTGCGTTAAGTAAAATATTAAGGTTAATTTATCTGCTTCTGTTTATTTTTTAATGTGACTACTAGAAAGTTCAAAAAAATGTTTTAGTTGAAGTATAGTTTATTTACAGTGTTGTGCCACTCTCTGCTGTACAGCAAAGTGACTCAGTTATACACATATAGATGTTCTTTTTTATATTATATACATATAGACATTTTTAAAAATATTCTTTTCCACTGTGGACTATCACAGGATATTCAATATATCTCCCTGCACTATACAGTAGGACCTTGTTGTTTCTCCATCCTATATATAATAGTTTACACCTGCTAATCCCAAACTCTCAGTCCTTCCCTCCCATACCCTCCTTCCCCTTGGCAATGACAAGTCTGTTTTCTATGTCTGTGAATCTGTTTGTTTTGTAGATAGGTTCATTTGTGCCACATTTTACATTCCACATGTAAGTGATATCATGTGATATTTGTCTTTCTTTTTCTGACTTACTTCACTTAGTACAATAATCTCTAGTTGTACCCATGTTGCTGCAAATGGCATTATTTCGTTCTTTTTTAAGGCTGAGTAGTATTCCATTGTATATACGTACCACCTCTCCTTTATCCATACATCCTTTAATGGACATGTTTCCATGTTTAGGCTATTGTGAAGAGTGCTGCTATGAACATAGGGGTGCATGTATCTTTTTGAATTATAGTTTTGTCTGGGTATATGCCCAGGAGTGGGACTGCTGGATCATATGGTAATTCTATTTTTAGTTTTCTGAGGAACCTCCACACTGTTTTTCACAGTGGCTGCACCAACTGACATCCCCACCAGCAGTGTAGGAGGGTTCCTTTTTCTCCACATCCCCTCCAGCATTCGTTATTTGTAGACTTTTTAATGTTGGCCATTCTGGCCGGTGTGAGGTGGTACCTCACTGTAGTTTTGATTTGCATTTCTCTAATAACTAATGACGTTGAGCATCTTTTCATGTGCCTACTGGCCATCTGTATGTCTCCTTTGGAGAAATGTCTATTAAGGTCTTCTGCTCATTTTTCAATTGGGTTGTTTTGTTGTTGTTGTTGTTGAGTTGTATGAGCTGTTTGTATATTTTGAAGATTAAGCCCTTGTCAGTCCTATCATTTGCAAATATTTTCTCCCATTCTGTAGGTTGTTTTTTCATTTTTTAATGTTTTTTTATGGTTTCCTTTGCTGTGCAAAAGCTTGTAAGTTTGATTAGGTCCCATCTGTTTATTTTTATTTCTATTGCCTTGGGAGACTGACCTAAGAAAACATTGGTACAATTTATGTCAGAGAATGTTTCGCCTATGCTTTCTCCTAGGAGTTTTATGGTGTCACATCTTATGCTTATGTCTTTAAGCCATTTTAAGTTTATTTTGTGCATGGTGTGAGAGTGTGTTCTAACTTCATTGATTTACATGCAGCTGTCTAACTTTCCCAGCACCACTTGCTGAAGAGACCGTCTTTTTTCCCATTTTTTATTCTTGCTTTGTTGAAGATTAATTGACTGTGTGGGTTTATTTCTGGGCT